TGAGATAAAAAATATCCGATTTATGCATTCAAGGGTGGTAATGAAACCCCAGCACAAATGAAGAGGGCTACACTCACACTGTTTTGTGTGAAAAGGCGGGCAAGGGAGCACCAAAATTGAACCAAAATTGAGCTGTGAAAAGCAATCCACGGCTTCCAGACACCCTGGGAATGCAGGGCATGTCTTGGTGCTGATAAAAAGTGAGTGCCAATTCCCTCAAAACCTACACGGCGCACTCTCAGTTGAAAAAATAAAGCAGCTGTACAATTCCATAGTCGTTACGGTCCAAATATTCCATGCTCTAACATAGAAAACCTGCCAAAAGTCCATTCCATCTCTTTAGTGTCCCTGGTTTCAGTGGTGCCATGCTGGATACACAAGAAGACCCCAACATGATGTTTTTATGGCGTTTTCACTCCATCGAACTCTTGACCTCTGAGGGATGTTTCACATTCACTTTCGGGTGTGGAGAACCAAAACCAAACCCCACGTGTGAAACCCAAACCAAAGTCATACCTTATTTGCCACAGACACCATAACTGGTGCAATGCTGTGATATAACATTATTGGTCTCATAAAAGTCAAAGGCTGGCTTTGTTCTTCGTAGGATCGTGGAACCATGGAATGGTTTGGGATGGAAAGGAACACTTCCAGGGATGCGGCAGCCAACCTGTGCCAGGGGCATACCACCCTCACAGGGAAGGATTTCTTCCCAGTATCCATCTAACTCTGGCAATTTGAAGCCATTGCCCCTTGTCCTGTTGCTCCAGGCCCTTGGAAATAGCCTCTCTCCGTCTCTCCTGTAGCCCTCTCAGGTCCTGGAAGGCCACAATCAGTTCACCCCGAAGTTTCTCTTCTCCAGGCTGAGCAATCCCAATTCTCTCAGCCTTTCCTCACAGGACAGGAAGAAAATTAATTTCCCCCGGCTTTACAGTGTTTAAATAAAAATGAGCCATAGATCGATTCCGTCCCCGAATCGGTGTTGTACTGGCTGCAGGACTTTGGCCACTTCCAAGTGCTGCAGAATGGAAGCCCCAAGCCATTGTAAAATGGATTCTCGGCCATGTGGAACCACTGCCAGCAGTGAGTGTTTCCACCACGAGGTGTCTCAGAGGTTAAAACACTGGAAGAACAAATTTGGGACTGGCTCTTATCACACACAAACAACGTGGCGTCGCCTCGCTGTCACACCTGGTTCTGTCTGCTCAGGAAACAAAAAATATTGAGTGGAAAAGGGTTGGGTTTGCCTTTGTTGTGTCCTAAGTATAAGAGAACTGGATTTTATGGAGCTACTAATTTTTAGCATCACACGAAAGAAATAAAGAGTATATATCTGCTCCTAATCCTGCAAAAATCTGTACAACAAAAATCAGTACAACAAAAAAAAGGGAGGGGCAGGCAGTGATCTCTGCTCTCTGGTGACCAGTGATAGGACCTGAGGGAACAGCTGGAGCTGTGTCAGGGGAGGTTTAGGATCTCAGGGAAAGGTTCTTCCCCCAGAGGGTGGTCGGGCACTGAACAGGCTCCTCAGGGCAGTGGGCACGGCCCCAAAGCTGCCAGAGCTCCAGGAGCGTTTGGACAACGCTCTGAAAAATTCATAGAACAGAAATCCGTAGAACTTATCTAAAGTTCACAAAGTGGCTTTGAATTTCCACGGATCTAAACAGAGGCCAGGATAAGATTCTGTGTTTTGCAGCTGCAGTATGTGTATTTACTGTGGGCTTCAAATCAAAGAAACATTGATATCTGAGGAGGACTTGAAATAAAAACTACTTCTGGTGACAATCACCTATTTTGTAAATATTCGCACCTGGCAACTTGCTGGTTTCATACAAAAACAAACAAAGCTTGGGATGTGCTCCCCAGTATGTTCCACTGTAAATAAACATATCTGAGAGAGGAAATTCTCTCTGACAACTGGGATAATACTTGAAGTATTTCTCCACCCTTCACATTGATCTGGTTATTGGGATGTTCAGTGCAAACACACATTAGTTTAATAGGGGCTGCTGGGAGAAGCAAAACAGCAAGGAGAACTCAAGACCCTTCTCTTCCCCAAAATATTAATCTATTTTAACAATAACACCAGTGTCACTACTTCTGAAGGTTTTTCACACTGTACAACTGATCTACAAACTGAATTAAGCTGTGGTAAGAAGCAGTCCATGACTAATGAGAAAAAGACCTGTAGCAGCTTTAGAGGAATATGACAGAAGGAATCAGGCTGACACTAAGGTGCCTGAAGTTCTGAATGTCTGAGCTGCCACAAACACAGGGCAATCCTCAGGTAATCCCTGCATGGAGCTCAGCAGGTTGTTGATTTAAATATTTTTTTTCCCTAAATTGTTTCCTACTCCTATAAATGTAAACACAAGGCTGACAAGGAGAAATCTGCATTATCTCTGTGTTATTAATTGCAGATTGCAAGAGGAAAGAGCAGCATGTGTCCAAGCTGCTAATTAGGAATAATTACCCCATGAGGTTCTGTAAGTGTCCCAGGTACAAACAAACACGAATCCCAGTAATATGTACCACCAGTGAAGAAGCAATTAAGTGTTGTGAGGAGATGCCATGTCTGCTCTCCTTGGGCATTCCCTGGGCATTTTTGACCAGGAAGGAAACAGTTTAAGAGCTGTTTGCACAAATTCCCAGAACTAGTGGTGCTCAGGAATTTTAAGAATCACGAGGGCAGAGCACTGAGGCACCCAGAAGGTGCAGGGTCAGTCCTTGTGCTGCAGGCTCTGCTAAGCCAAGTCTGTGGTGCACTGGGATAAACGTGCCTGGAAGAGCCAGGATTTCTGCAGACCACCTCATCATTCTGGGGCTCACATTATTCACAGTGTCACCAGTAACAGCACCACTGTTTATAGAACAAAGTGCCAACAGAACCCCTGGTACCTGAAGCTGAGGGGCAGGACAGCAGGAGTGGTCTTGGCCACTGGCACAGGTTGCCCAGAGAAGCTGTGGCTGCCCCTGGATCGCTGGAAGTGTCCAAGGCCAGGTTGGATGGGGCTTGGAGCAACCTGGGATTAGTGGAAGGTGTCCCTGCCCATGGCAGAGGGTGGGACTGGATGATCCTTAAGGTCCCTTCCAACCCAAACGAGTCTGTGATTCCATGACAGTAAATAATGTGACAAGAACAGGAGGTAATCGTTACAGAGAATCCTGTTCTTCCATCTCACAGAAAACAGAAACATCAGCCCTGCAAAAT